AGTGCACGCTGCACACCCCACACTGCACACCACCACACACCCATGCCTGAGATACACAGATGCCTGAGGGTCAGGAAATAACGTGCCCCTCTGGTGTGCAACGCAGAGGGGAGCCACGACCCATACATGTGCATCTGGGTAAAAGTGCTTTAGGTTGTTATAATTTATTTTTCTTCTCTATTAGGAATAATCTATGCCCATCCAGCAGTACTTATCATGGCATAGTTTAAACAGCATAACTTTCAATGCCATTCCCTAGGCCCTTCAGCCAGATCAAACACAGCCCCACTGAAATGCCTGCCTACCATTCACTTCAACTCTAAAATACATCTGAGGATTTGAAAAGGGGAGTCCCACTGAAGACTATCCTCAGAAATCTGGTCCTGAAAGCAGGACTCAAATATTGGAATCATTTAAGCCATTGTACTAGAGTTGGTATAGATAATTTTCAAAATAACAGCTGCCATTTTAAAAATGTAGCTTACAAATACAAGAAATAGGACAGGCACAGCCATATGAACACATACTGTTCTCACACATAAGAAAAACTTAAACACCACTGTTTAATGAATCATAGAATCACAGAATCATAGAATGGTTTGGATTAGAAGGGACCTTAAAGATCATCTAGTTCCAATCCCCCCTGCCATCAGCAGGGACACCTTCCACTAGATCAGGTTGCTCAAAGCCTCATCCAACCTGGCCTTAAACACTTCCAGGGAGGGGGCATCCACAACTTCCTTGGGCAACCTGTTCCAGTGTCTCACCACCCTCACAGTGAAAAACTTCTTCCTAATATCTAATCTAAACCTCCCCTCTTCCAGTTTAAACCCATTTCCCCTTGTTTTGTCATTAGGTGGGTTAGAAGTGCTACCAACAGACTCTTCATATTATTATTAATAATAATAACTATCATTAGTCATTAGCTCATATATGGCACGCTGCAGACAGAGACATACACCAGTTTACACACTGGTTATGCTTCCTATGCTTGTTTTGTATGGTATAATATTTTGTGGGTTGTATTTGGACACTTTCTATACAGATCAGCTTTCCTTCTGAACACTGGCCCAAAACACAATGCTTGGAAGAATTTATTTGATCCTCTGTTTCTGCTCGTTGATAGACAAGGCACTGTTCATCACATAGAATCATAGAATGGTTTGGATTGGAAGGGACCTTAAAGATCATCCAGTTCCAACCCCCCTGCCATCAGCAGGGACACCTTC